ATATATATTATATAAAATATTATAAATATATATATATATATATATATATATATATATATACTGTATATGTATAAATATATATGTGTATATAGGCATATATACAGTATATATATATATATACATTTAATTACATTTTAATTACATAGTAGATATTGTTTATTGTTTGTATTATCTCAATCAAATTTTACTTTCAATATCAATGCACCAGCAAACAACCCAAGGCTGATATTTGGCTTTAGCACAATAAAATATTTAAAAAAATCCTCCACTTTTCCAGCCTAGATAGGGTGATAAACTATTAATATTTTTAAAAGGGCCTAATAAAATTATAACTATAATTTAGGTTGCAAAAATATATAGATTGGAGGCAAGAACACAGCTGAACTGGAACTCAACTCACCCTCTTCCACTGGGGTATATTCTGCTCTGTATGTACCATCTTTGTTATCAGTAATGACAGGTTTCACCTTAGTTCCACTGGGTGACTGCAGGGTGCAGTCAATAAGGTCTTTCAGCTGATTGGCCTGTGGCCCGACAGCCTTAGCATTCACGGTGAAATCAGTTGGACAGCCTACAAACACCTCTACAAGTTGTGAAACAATCAGTACAAAATTAGATAACTTATCATTGATAAATTTCAGCAATTCTGCTATAAGCTCTTAGGACTCAAAAAATATATTTTAATGTAATTAATTATTAATGTTGTTAACAATGGTAGAATGCTTTTGTTATGCGCATGCCATGTGAGCAATGCATACTAATAATAATAAAAACAATAAAAATAACAATAATAATATATATTTATTTTAATATACATAAATAAACTTCAGAAACAATTAATTCCAAAAAAGCATATAGTAGAAATTATGGAAAGTCTTCAAGTAGCTAATAATGTTAGCAATTATAAAATATAAATAAAAAATATTATGAAAACAATAAAATAATATGGTTTGATTTGACATCCTCTATATACTTAAAAATTGAGATTAATAATTTACAAATCTGTTATACAGATCAATGTAATATTTATATATAGCCAACTACATCATGTTTCAAGATCATTAATATGCAACATGCAGGTATGAATATTCATGATTGAGGAAATATTACTGAACACCAACTGGTTAAAAGAGATCAGGTGACAGTATGTATGGATGGTAGCCTACAACATTACAACATTTCAACATGCACATACACATTCAACACATGAAACATTCTACTCTGCATAAACATGTTACAGACTTGACAACATAGAAGGTGGGATGATGTTAGGATGAGACGATTATGTAGTGAAATTGGGAATTAACAGACAGTTTTGTTATCATTTGGTGGAAAAACCTCAAATTAGTTAAGTGTGAATGTGTCATGGACTTTTTTCATGAGTGGAAATTAAGAGGGTTTCAAAACACACAAAGATATGGGTTTGTATATATCCCATTTAAAAAAAAAACATGAGTTAAGCTATGGAAAAAGAAACAAAAGTATGGTTAAATGAAAAAATAGATGCTGACAAATCAAAAATAATAATTTAGCAACAGATTGTAATTCTTATTGATGTGACGTTTTATGTCAACAAAATTAAGAGGGGGAAGAATCCAGAACTTTGAGGACCGAGATCCTGTGCAGACTAATTTTTTTATGCCGAATGGTTGAATAATTTTGGCCTAGAGATACTTTCAGTTACCTTGGACCAAGCTAGGTAGGTAGGCCATACTGATGACCCTATTGTCATAGACTAATTAGGCCTTTGAAACAAAACATGTTTGATAAATGACAATTATTGTAAAACAAAATAAGCATGATGAATTTCAAGAGTATTACTGCTGACAGCACTGCATAAGCTTTGCAGCCGAGTGATAGATAGGTGCCACCATAGCTTGCAAAAGATTTTTTATTATGGTCATATGTGCTACCTCTGTACAAAAGGAGGCGACTATTTTTACTCTTCAAAGTTATTGGAGCATGATTTTAGTGGTTTGGTGCAATGTGCTAAAAAATAATCGGATGTTGCTATGTGGTTGCTATGTGTGATCCTCCACCAAATCGTTAGGCATTAATTAGATAAGAGGAAAGAGAGAGTTGCGGAAGAGACGGTGTGTACTCAGGCATGACAATATCATATGGTTACTTTACCCGGTTCAATGCCGTAACCGAAAACCTCAACCCCACTGACATCTAGTGGTGCTCCAACTTCTGATCTGAGTGGAAAGTTTGGAATTGAGTGGTCACCATACTTGACATCCAGATCAATTGGACCTTCTTCTGTTGGGAAATATGTGACATCATATGTGCCATCACCATTGTCTTTGACATCAACATCAAGAGGTTTACCATCAGGTCCAACAGCACTGCATTCAACAGGAGGAACATGGCTAGCAGACAAAGCCTCTTCAATGACAGGAAAGTCATCCACCGGGCCAAGCTTTTTTGAACGAGTTGGCTTCCCTTCTTGATAAGAGACTGGTTCCTCATTAACTGGTTTATCAAGGTCATCCCATTGATGTCCAAACTTTTTTGGCTTCAATTGAGTAGATTCAATGACATCCTCTGCCACTGGAGCATTATCAGTTGTGTCGGAACCTTTGGAATGTGGCCTGTGAAAGTCACTGAATGGATCATCTAAGATGCCATTTTCTGGTCCATGAGATCCTGGAGCAGATCTTACTGGCAGAACTCTGTCAGCCATCACCGGATCTTCATTAACGGCAGATGGTTCTTTTGGCCATTGGACTGAAAAGTCACCCGGGCCTTTTTCAGTTGCACCAACCATGGGCTCATTGACTTCCAAATCGTCTCCATTTAATGGGCCATAAGATGCATCATCAGGCGACAAACGCTGTGCTTTCATTGGTGGTTCACCAGCATCACGGGCATCCACTTTGAAAGTGCATGGGCAAGTGGCAAAAGACTTGGCCGGTTCAAGGCCGGGGCCATATGCTTTAACCTTTGACGGATCATACACCTTTGCATTAAACGGCGATCCTGGAATGTGTTCGTCAGCGAATAGTACGTTGATCTTATATGGTCCGATAGAATTTGGTGTGTACGTCACCTTGCAAGTACCATCACCGTGATCTTTACAGTCAATCACAGCTTCCGTTGGTCCTTCCACTGTCAAGTTTAAGCCTCCAATACCTGCCTTTCTAGTATCAATACTGAAGTCTGTAGGCTCGTTTACAGGACCACCTTTCAATCCTCTACCTCTGGCAATTACCTTTCTAGGGTCTGTTTTAGGCTGGACAATGAAAGCCTGCCTTGTTAATGGGACATCTGCATAGGTAAGCCCTACAACATGCTGGCCTTCCTCCTCTGGTGTGAATTTGACTGCGTGGCCTTTAGGTGTTTGGGTAATAGTTATTGGCAACTTCTTGCCTGATGGATTTTTTATGTCACCCTCTAGATCCCCTGGACCAGCTGGGGCAGTGTTGACGAAGAATGTGTGTTCTTTTCCTACCTGAATCGCTATTTTTTTTGTAAAAATAAATCACACAGAAATTAACATGCAGAAATAAACAACACATATGACAAATTATTAAAGATCTAAATCTTTCTTAGATTAGTGATCATGGAAGATGAAAGTTATTAATTATCATCAAAATTGAGGACTGAATGGCAAAACTATCAATCATGCTTTACTGGATTATAGGTTGGATGTATTAACACAGCAAATATCACACACACATCCACTTTATCATAGTATCCATAGCAACCACCTTCAGCCATATTGTATGCAGAATAAAAGAGGTCAAAGTCCATGTTAAATTTCATAAAAAAATATTTCACACAAGATAAAATATTACAGATAACAAATGCAGAAACATTGGGGAAAAAACAATAAAAACTGGAGAAAAAATGGTTTCACAAACATTTGAAGATTTGTCGATACAATAGACAATGTAAGAGAATACGAATATGTTGGATTCGAAAAAATAATTTTGTGTAAAATAATTCTTGTTTATTTTAAAATGACCAACATTACCATAAGTAACATAAAAAATGGTCCAAACTATTACATAAAAACATGACCATATATGGGCACATAGTGACTATATATGGGCACATCATGATCATATACGGGCACATCATGACTATATATAGGCACTTCATGACCACATATAGGCACATCATGACCACATATGGGCACATCATGACAATATATAGGCACATCAAGACTATATATAGGCAAATGATGACCATATATAGGTACATCATGACTATATATAGGCACATCATGACTATATATGGGCATACAACAGTTTTTATTGAAGGAAATTTGATAGTGTGGGTAGAGCTTTGTGTGATACTGTTTTGTAATGGAATTGACAGTTAAAAGCAAAAATTAATGCAATACCGATTTTCGATTAATTTAAACCTTAAAAATTTCTTTTCATATTTTCAAAAAACCATGAATGAAAAGTATTATTTTATTCATATTAAATAATTCATTAATGAATAAACTAATGAATAATTAATATTTACTAAAATTTGTGAATATATAATTCCAGTCATTGAATTAAAATAAATACATTAAAAAAATGATTTTATTCACATATTCAAATGAGGCAATTTGCATACTTACGTTCTTGAAGTCCATCAATAGTAATTTTACTGACATCAACGGTTGGCACAACCTGAACAGTTATTGGACTCTGGGGCACATCCTTGCCCTTAAACTTGACCTCGACAACATAGTTGCCTGGTTTCTGTGGGGTGTAACGAGCAGTGTAGGTGCCATCTTTGTTATCGGTGACATCACATTTTATTGGGGTTTCAGAGTTGCTGTTCACTCCTGGAGCAGAGGTGCATTTTACTTGGATCGGTCCTGAAGTCAAAACATTTAATTTGTTTATAAATAAAATAAATTAAATTAAATATGAAATAAATAACATTCAAATATATGTAACTGTGGAGATCTTTCAAATATGGTGCCTGATTTGTTTTGTGTGTCAGTTGGAAGACAGTAACACATGTTACAATAGCCAGTGCCTTTTAGATGAGATGTTTAAGTATTCGATTCTGTTTGCAATATGGCACATGTGCACATTACAGAACACAGTACAAAAAGCAGGGAACTGCCTCCTAGTGTGCTGCCCAATTCCCCAAAATGACCCCACTGAAAAAAAAAGTCCTTGTACATATTGGGTTATTCTTGGTACACTTTATATCAAAATACCTTGTTGTATGCTCCAATTTTGTTGGATGAACTTTTAAGCACTGTCCAGATTGTTCAATGATGTGACATGCCCAAATATGGTCGATATGACTATATATGGGCATACAACAGTTTTTTATTTTAAAGAAAATTTAATAGTCTAAACAGGGCTTCATGTTACGAGTTGACAATTAACATAATTTACTTTTTTTTTTCACAAGCATACACTATGATAGCATTTATGTTGAATTACTGTACCTTTGCCAGCTTCAGTGCAATCCACAGTGAATTCTGTAGGCTCCTTAGATTTAACGTTTCCACTTTCCAAACCAGGGCCGTACAATTTAACAGCACCAGGACCAGCTCCAATTGTCACCTGTGTGTGAACATGTAAAAGTGTTAATTGATAAAAATAAAATCATCATGCACAGATCAATATTACTAGATTTATGTCTTTAATCATAGATTTAAAAATAAAGCATTAATGTGATAGACAGACAGAATGGGGATAAATGTTTTTTAAAAGTTGTGTGTACTTAAAACAATATTGCAGTAGTTTTTCCAGCCTTACTCTGAATGGACTCTTTGGAACGGACACCTTCCCCCAAGTCACAGCGACAGAGTGTTTCAATGGGGCGGTGGGTGTGTAGCTAACGGTCCATGTGCCGTTTTTGTTATCACGAATATCTGGTTGGATTTTGTTACCAAGCTGATCAAATATGAAAATCTCAAGTTCTGCTTTTCCGCATCCGGGGGCACGAGCATCAACAGTGAACTCCGTCTTCTCGTTAATCAAAAGACCATCTGGCTTGAGTCCAGGTCCGGAAGCAACGACCTGAGCAGAGAGCAATGATCTTTATTACAAACTAATATATTGTATGTTTAATAGAATTATAGTCTGGTATTAAAATGTTTAAGCTTGCTGCATCTCTACAATCATTTACAAATTTTTTTCACCTTGCCAGCATCAAACCCAAGGGGGTCTGGGGTAATTTTAGCCATGTATGGACTATGCTCAATGTCTTCCTCATCAAATGTAATATGGATGGCGTATTCTCCAGGCACAGTAGGATAGTAGGTTACCTCGCAGGAACCATCCCCATTATCAGCACATTTGATCTCGGCTTCAGATGGCCCTTCGATGGCAAAACCTGCAAGTAGAAAAGATATCTTTTTAAATAAAAGGATGGCTTGCAGTAACAGTTTTTTTATTTAAACAATTGTGTGTGATTTACAAATATATATATGCATGAAAATAAAATGTTACACCTATCACAGATATTTAAACTTGATTAAACTTGTTATTGTGGACATCTCTGTTTTATTTAACAAAAGTTAATGACACATCTTTTTTAACCGATGGTTTGCAGGTAAATCCTTTTTTAATGTGACAAATATGTGTGTCTTCTCATACATTTTTATTCATTTTCCCCCAATTTAATATTCCTCTTTTAACTTGTCATTATTCGTACTTCATTTTATTATATTTCCATATTATTAATAGTTTAGTACCTGATAAGTTTATTCAAAAGTGTTGTGTGTATTTGATTGTATATATTTTTTTTTTATTAAATTGAAAACATATCTGTTATTTACCTATATATGGGTGGGATATGATATCACACACATATATTGGCCAATCACAGAACATTTGATAGCATGAACAGAGTATTAAATCTTATCCACATTTTATGACAAAAACATGTTACTTGCTTAATATGGTCATGATTATATCACATCCTAACCATATATAGGCACATCATGATCATATATAGGTATAAACATTTTTGTTTTGTCAAAATGTAAAGAAACTTGGACGAATTTCCTGTATGGCAGTAATAAATTCAGACTAGGATGATGTCATATTTGTGGAATTCTGTGGGAAATTCAAAACATGTAAAGTTGACACCCATGGGAAATCGAGAATTATACCTGTAATTTAAGCATACTTCCTTGACTTGGACTGACCTGACAACATGCCTGTTGCGTAGACAATGAAGTCTGAATTTAGGGTTGCAAACTACAATGACTAAATTTCTATTTTATTATCAATGACATCAGCTTTAACATGTCCCTTGTGTACACTCAAGAATGCTATATGGTACACTGAAAAAGTGCAAACAGTAAAAAGACATACAGCACTTTTAAGACTACTAATGCAAAAATTATTGTACACACAAGACTACTTCTGCTGACTGGAAAAGAGTCACCGGAAGAAGATATATTGCCCAATTTGCACACTGCTTCAGCAGCAAATGTTCAGCAGCCTAGTACAGTAGTTTCTCCCTTTGAAACATATTTTATTACATAGCTGAAAAGGAGGCTCACATTATTTTAAAAATAAAAGTGAAATGGGACAAAACACATTTTATAAAAAAAAAAAAAACCTATTTTGTCTCCTCCCAAACGTTATGCCCTCAACCCTTGAATAACCATACTGTTATCAAATAGTATAAAACTCTACAAGAGGTCCGACTGCCCTCATTTTGTATACAGGTAATGGAACGTTAAAAAGTACTCCCACGAAGGGGCGTGTCCCTCATAAAACGTAAAAGGTGTTCGTATCGAACGCGCGCTGCATTTCGAATTCCAGCGTACAATCTATAGACGTTCTTTTAAAGGCCATGGCAGTTTTATACTCTTTGCTGTTATTAAAATTGTTGAGGTTATTGATGTATGTTTTAATAAACTGAACTAAACATGCAAATTGAAATAGTTTTATATAAACAAAAACTTACCCAAGGCGCCAACAGCACCATTGGTTTCAACGGTGAATGTGCAGGGCTTTCCTGCCACACCCTTCTCCAAGCCAGGCCCAAAGGCACGGACATTCGTGATCGGTCCCTGTGCCTCTGGACTAATGTTGACAGTAAAGGGGCTTTTGGGGATATGTTCCTTGCCGTAGATGATGTGAACGATGTAACGTCCAGGCTTGAAAGGGCTGTAGGAACACGTGAATGTTCCGTCGCCGTTGTCGACTACTTTCACTGGCTCGTCGATTCCACCTGAGCGAAGCAGTGGCAATTATAGTGTTAAAAACATTTGCAAACATTTGTGAGTTGTGAGGGGTATAATTTGAGACAAAACTATACATTTTACAATGAATATATTTTCTTCAAATACAAAATCAGGTTAATGTACTTATTTCCTTTCTACCATGTTATTAGTACGGCATTTTTCTTTATATATTTGTGTATGTGCAAAGTATATGTTATCATTAGGTGTAATGGAAAAAGGGACAGGGAGGGGTTTATAAGAAGATACCATAAGAGAGCTTAACACGTTATCTACCACCTGAGCGACCTTTCACCTAGAGAAGGTAATCATGGAAGAGCGCATTATAAGCTCTGGTAAGGGCTAAGGTTCCAACACTGAGTTAGTGCTACATAAGAGCAAATCATAACAACTTAAAAGACAAATACAGGTTAATATTCAAATTACCATGGACTTCATCCATCTTTTTACCACACTAAAATTACCCTCACTACAGCGCACAAGATTAATGAAGTTAGTGCCACAAATTAAAACAATGACGAACATTCTGTTAGTAAAACACAACAAAAGATGTCAAAGACACAAAAACATTAATGTCTACGATTCAAGTTAGTAAGACATCAGTAACAACTAATAGAATTTGGAAGAGAAAGTTCAGACTACAATTTAAAAGTACACATTGAGATCAACAAGTTGATATTAACATTTAAAAAGGAAAGTTCAATACTGAGGTTAAGGTTCAGGGATCACATGACACAAAAGGAATTTCAGGTTAGTAACAAGGCTGTTCATATCTTTGCAGGAAGAGAATGGAAAAGTATTAATCTAGTTTTATATTTGAAGAAAGACAACAAACATGAACATTTTTAAAATGAGAACAAATACAAGTAAAAGGTAAACCAAAGGAATTTCAGGTTAGTAACAAGGTGTTTTTTTAGGAAACAAATGGAAAAAGTATTAATCAGGTTTTATATTTGAAGAATGACATTAAACATGAACATTTTTTATAGATGAGAACAAATACAAGTAAAAGGTAAAAACAACATTGAGATATAAGCATATGAATATTGAATGTTAATTAATTTCCAAGATCCATATCCTTGAAAATCTGAAAACCCATTGGAGACCCCTTTACATTTGATGGCATCAACATTACCATCTGTGTTTCAGTAAACAAATTACAAACATTGTTTATTTTTTTGTTGTTATTCAAATGAATATTCAGTTTACAGAGCACACAATCATTTTGAGAATTCAAAATCAACATGATCTTTTTTATACCAAATTCTAATATAAATTATTTGTTTATATCAAATGCAGTACTGATCAAAAGATATTAATATTGAGTTTATCAGCTTTTCAAATAGCTCCCTCTATGTTAAGATATGGTTATTGTCAGCTGTTTATTGGCTGATTATGGATAATCATGTCTGGCATTCAATTCCACAATTTGAAACGCTCCTCTGAGGTTTGGTTTCTACCAAATATGGTCATACCAAAATGGTGTATTCAGGAATATTTACTTCCTGTCTCGACTAAAAGGAATCATTGATTGGGTGGGGTGACATTGACTAATGTTTAGAAAGCAACGAGATGACAAATGACAAAAGATGAATAAGTATACTGAGAATAAGGACATAAAAACATCATCATCATCATCACTGTCATCACAATCATGGCAAACCTATCACTAAAACAACCACACTATAACAGACATAATTTCTATGGTAACCTCACTATAACAACCAATAAATATAACCATCACCCTAGAAACCATCAACATTGTTTAAATTTTAATATTAATCTAAGTAACCAATATAACTACCCAAATATATTGAAATTAGTTCAGAAAAAAGGGAGGTGAAGAATCCAAAATGTAAAGAAACCAATAATGATTTTTTGACAAAGTTGAAAAGCATATTTAGTCAAAATGATGTACATAACGTGATTTATAAAAGTAAAATTGTATAATATTCCACCCTTTAATATTAATTTTTTATGATTATAACAATATAATTTTTGTTGAAATGCCCTTAAAGATCAAGTTTCTTTTCATATCCCTCAAAATCTCTCATCAACTTCTAACCTATCACCTTCTACCTTTCACCTTCTACCTATCTTCACTTTTCACCACGTCTCTCATCTATCTGTTTTCATCTTTTAATTCATGTTATGATTGTTTTTTAGCCCTTATGAAGCACTTTTTCCAGGCCTTAGATCTCACCAGGTCCAATAATCTGCACTTTCAAATTAGCTTCTCCAGCCTTCTTGGTGTCCACGTAGAACACACACTTCTCCTTAGCACGCAGGCCCTTATTTTGTATGCCTCTTCCGTAAGCAAAGGCATTCTTAGGGTTGAATTCTGGGAAAACAAAAACAAAAATTTATATTAAATAAAAGGGTAATGCTACCTTAAGATGTACGGAACTTTAAAAAATATACGAGACACAATATATATGAAGCATTATAATATCAATTTATATAATTCATAAATTGGGAGGAAAAAATAACAACCACAATAATTGAAATAAAAAATACCACCCTTTTTATGACAGCAAAACATTTAGTAAATCTGATCATTGAGAGCTTACTACTCTAAAGCCCTGTTCAGACCATTGGATTTTATTTCATACAAAACATGTTGCATACTTAAATATAGTCATGACGACATCATATCATGATCTTATATAAGCCTATAGACACATTATGATTACATAGCATACAACAGTTGGTCAAATAAAATTTAACAGGCTGGACAGGGCATAAAATCAATTATTTTAATTATTATTTAAGAAAACAATGACATATCCTACTACTCTAAGGTTGGACAGTAAACTCCCAACCTCCAAAACCACAATGTTACATAGTAATTATTGTCAAAGTTCAAGGGAGATCCTTGTTTTTATATTTTTACCTGGGACCACTTTAACTTCAAAGACACTTCCTGGAATGTTGGCACCAGAAAATGTGATCTCGATGGTGTAAGTTCCCATCATGGTTGGTGTGTACTGGCAGTAGAACACGCCCTTTCCCTTGTCCTCCAGCATCACGCTGGATGTAGTAGGGTCTCCATTTGGATCTTTCACTGTAACGGATAATTCTCCGAGGCCAGCACCTAAAAAATATATAATAGATTTATTAAAAATGGAGAGGGACTTGTTAACATTGTAGAGTAAACAGGAAATTTCATACCATGACGAGGTTACCTTTGGATTTGGATTAATTTGGTGTAAACAACAAGAAGACTATTTCCAGTGGGGTCCTTCTGGTGGTGATTGGGCAGTACACCGGGAGACAATCCCCTACTCTTTTTCAAATAGTGTACTGCGTTCTGTAACGTGCACATGGGCCATAAATGCACAAGGGACCAATGGCATAAACGTCTCATCTGAAAGACGGTGCGCTATTGTAACTTGTATTTCAGCCCTCCAGCTGAAACACAAGGAAAGGCAGCAATGCGAATAGAACCGGGGACCTATAGATCTCCACGGTTCAGCGCACACACAGTGGCTACCACCACATTAGCCGACTAAGCTAAGCTGCTCTCTAAGCTAATGTACCTAAGTTCAGGTTGTCAAAGAGGTTTTAACGATAATATGAGATGGAAGGGAGAGGGGTATGTGAAGGTTATGTACCATGTGTAACGCAAGTATTTATTAAAGTATATCGTCCATAGACTGATTGTATAGGTATTTATTAAAAATGTTTAATTTAAATATTATTTACATTTCACTCTCTTCCAACAGTGAATGACTGCTACTCTTCATATAAATAAGATATTCTTAAATAATTATTTTTGAAGCCAAGGTTGACAAACAAGCATCATAATCACCAAGCTGTTATTTCTTTGCTCTATGATTCAGGTAAGATTTTTGATATTACAATGCTACATTTCCAGGCATTACCAATCATTTCAATTTTCAATAGAATTTTGAAAAAGTCTATTTGTATAGTAAGTATCATATCTGTCATGGTTGAATGATCTTAGAAAATTTCTAGAGGTTTGCTATTCAGGTGGAAGAAATCAGTTTCCTACAAGATTCCAGATTGAAGTAATTGGTTATATGCCTCGGGATCTAATTCATCCGAAAATGATTACAACAGTACTTGTCGCATTATTAAAATACCACAAACATCAAAGTTATCACATCACACTCAATGATCAAAAAGCAATTTTATTAACCTATTGACAAGTTTCAAATTTTAATAAATATTGTAAATATACTAATTTATACCACCAGCACAAGGAAAAGGATACAGGATAATTGCTGGAAGTAATCTGTGATGGACTATGTCCCATCCTGGGGAAGAATCACCTCTCAACTGCTTCACACTAAAGAAACTGAGGATGAACTCTAGTCCTCTAATAGCCTTAACGGCTCCTCAATGATTTTCTTTGAAAAAGCATTTTTACAGGTGCCTATTCCTGAGGTGCCTATTCCTAAAATTTGCTCCAACCATGATGTGGACTGAGGTGGGTGTAGATCCCTTGTCAGGGGATTTAGACCTCCCTGTTGGGGATCTGGGGATCCCTCATCAGGGAATCTCTACCACAGCCACTGTTGCCAAACAGTATGTCTAATATTTTTAAGCTTACCAGCTGTAAAAACTTCGAAGTAGGTGGACTGGTCTAGCATCACACCTGTGGGCTGCAGGCCAGGGCCTTCTGCGGAACATTTGCTTGGGTCTGTCAATAATTTACCTACTACCACCGTGAAAGGAGATTTTGGAATGGCAGTGTTGTTGAAAGCCACTTTTACCTGTCATAAGAAAATATGCAAATTACCAACTAATATTCATATAAAAAGCATTATTAGAGCTAACAATAATTGAATATTTCATTTGTAGCAACATTTGTTGTTTCCAAGAGAGTGTCATTTCAATGCTCCTTTTCTAAATTGGGTAATGCAATTTTCAGACACAGAACAATTATTTACTTGTGTTTTTCAACTTACCGTGTAGGTTCCTACACTTCTTGGAGTGTATTCTACGGTATAGCTCTTGTTTTTGTCTTTATTGTATTTAATTTCATGCGGTTCAATTTCTCCATTTGGATTGATGATCGTGACGGTGACTGTACCGCTACCGGCTGCATAGGTCTCCACAGTGAAGTGGGTGGGTCTGGTGATGGCATTTCCCTCCTTCTCAATACCTGGGCCATAGGCACGTACCTTAAGGTAAAAGAGAAAACAAAATCCATAAACTTGGTAACTATAGCACTAAAGATATTAGGACTCAATACAAGGGACGTGGCTACTCTATATTGGGGGGGGGGAGGGAAGGTGGGCACTATAAATGAGGGGTGTGGCTAATAACCTTCTGTTCATGTCTAAGGCAGGGATGGTTTAGACTTATAATCTAAGGGATGGAAACAATTTTTTAAAGGAATTGTTATGATTTATTCAAGGGATAGTCATGACTTACTAAAGGCTTATTAAAAAGATGGTTTTGGCTTATTAACTAAATAGCTTATACTTATTTATAAAGATGGCTACAAGGTTATGACTTATTCAAAGGATGGTTATGACTTACTAAAGGCTTGTTACCAATTATTAAAAAGATGGTTTTGGCTTAATAACTAAAGAGTTTAGACTTATTTATAAGGATGGTTATGAATTAATAAAGGGACAATTATGACTTATTAAAAAGATGGTTTTTGACATATTAAATGGATTGTTTATACCTATTAATAAGGATGGTTATGAATTATTAAAAATTATGACTAATTGAAGGGATGGTTTTGACTTTTAAAGTGATGGTTGCAACATATTAATTAGATAGTTATGAATAATTACAAAGGCTGATGATAAGTCACTTGAAGGGACATTATAACATTTGGACTAACATATTGGCAGGAAAATGTTTCAGGTAGATATAGGGTCATATGCTTCAGCAGAGTAGACCTGAAACTGCTTTCATTTTATGATCAGGCAACTGGCATTTAAGAAAATAATCACAACTGCTACACTCAGCTATGTAAATAAATAAGTAACTAGGAAATCACAATGTATTTTTAACATGGGTCTGACTCAATTTTTGCAATTCACATTCATCGCAGTTGTAGTCATAGTACATAGGATGCCTGCGGTGTAATTAATTACCTTTTTGGAGTTTGATCTTGGTCTCAGAGGAGCACCTGGCTTCAACTTGGCTTTGGGGAACTCAGACAGATATGTCATCATACTAAGGTCATCGACCCTTGGGTTCACCATATCCTCTGGTGCCAACAACTATAAGAAAATAAAGGTATTTTTGTATGAGTTTTCGGCTTATAATAGAAGCAGTTTTCAAGATGACAAAATAACTATAAGATAGAAACCAAAAGAATGTTTGTATGAGTTTTCAGCTAATAATAGAAGCAGTTTTCAAGATGACAAAATTACAAAAAAAGACTGAACTGACCAGCAGAATACTGGTCTTTCAAATTTATAAACAAACATCAATTCATATTAGACTATGATCTGAATACTTACACTGAATGAGAAAATGTTAAAAAAGATGTTTAGATTTTAATTAATAATCACATATATGCCATTATATATAATTAATATATGAAAAATATTGAATCTGTTTTTATACATTTGAGTGGTAAAATTGATTATTAATATGTAACGTGAGGAAGTCATATGTCATGGAAGCTTGGATAATATCAACATTTACACTATATCTCATTGTGAATAAAATAAACACATCAAATTCTTTGAAAATGGAGGCAGTTTCATGAGGCCCTATTGAAATAGTTTATAACACAATCATATAATCAATTCAATTCAAAAAGACAACTCAATATTTATACCTAGTGTATGAATGCTTAATGATGTGTCAAATGTTTACCTAGGCTATGAGGCTAGGCTATAATAAACAAATATTATATAAAAAGAAAAAATATTGGAACATAATGTTTAACTTTTATTTATGATTGAACCAAACATGTATATTATCTACATTTCTGCATTTAATCATTCATTTGTTTGCCCATTTTTAATTCATTTGATTATTATCCATCATTAAAAAAGTATAAAACTTCTTAATATGATTATAATACTGCAGCACAAAGAAAAATGAATTTAGAGGATCTAAAATGTTGTGGCCCCTACTAAACAAAAAACACTATACAGACAAAATCTTCAAATCAATAAAACTCCCTCTCCAAAGTATAGACCCTGACGTTGTTATAAAAATAACAAGAAAGCAAAGAATGGCAGCTGATCAGGGACCTCCTACAAAAACGCAGATTTACTAAAGAATTAGACTAGAATATTATTCTCATGTTTCATACAATAACGCCACTGTTCATACACACAGGGACAACCTACTAAAAATTAAATTACCTGAAAGTAAAGGCATTGAATTTCATTAAAAAAAAAGCGCAAGTGTTAAATTTCTAACAACCTTTAACATGTTCTGATAGGCAAGTTGACCATAAAAATGTCACTTTTAATTGTAACCTAGGAATTTTTGCAATGAAATCATCTGTTAACTGCTAATAACATCCCAGGTCAAGTTATCACTCAACTACCAGCTGAAATTCAATTAAAGTAATTAATTATATTAACAAATGTGCAAATCTTAAATTATCTGATTGACGGTACAAAACAATCTTTTTAATTGGTTTGCTTATTATTAAGATTGAGAATGAAGACTTTCCATAAGCTCCGTTAATAAAGATTACTTTTTGACTAGCAAGAAATATGAATTTGATAAACTGGTTGACACCCTTTGTTGAAAGTAACCACACAGGGGAGAAAAAATGCCGGGAATGTTGGAATATGATTTATCGCTGCAACAGCTGACTACTGTCTATAACAACCAAAATGGCTGCCATTTCAACACTAAATACATCCAAGATATATCATGGATATATAAGCATCTATCACTATTCAACTCAATTTATTGGTGAGAATCCTCCCATTGGGAATTCATGTCAGCATCAAAATACTTCTGATGATTATTTTACAGAGTTTTAATGTACATATAAAAAATGAACTCTGAACCTTGCAGACATAAACATACCTTAAGGCCAAGACCCTGTCTACCATATAAGGTAGTAACCCATCTCTTCTGAATCTACATACTGTATTATATATATTTTGAGAAGTGGAATAAGATGATATGCTATAAATGTAGACCACATTTAATTAGGGAAAAAAATTATTCTAAGCTTTAATAATTTTAACAAAATTATTTTATTATTATTTATTACGGTAATTATTTATTTACTACTTGATTTTTATGTTTGTTTTTAGTATACTGGAATCACACTCTTTGAGGTGACAGTGTTCCTATTAATATTACCTCATTGGCAAACAAAGATGTATCATTTGGTATAAAAAAAAACTTAGAATTTTTTTTTTTTTTATAGAAAATCGCATGTTTTCTACTGGTAGTTTACCACATACCAAAGATTATTTGAAATTTGAGTGAAAATACCTTCAAAATACCTACAGTAGAATATTGTGCAATACCACACATTGTGAAAGTATAATTACTGAGGGACTTTTTTTATCTGCGTCTATAGTTTAACAGTTTCATTACAGTAGAACCCCAAATAAAGTTAATGTTTAGGATAATTGGGTCAAATATATTCACCTTTAATCTTATGACAGCAATTTTTACATAATCTTTCAACTTTTTTTTTTTGGTTTGTAATTCCTATAGTCTGGTCTAAATTTTACAGAAAGTTTCTTAAAATTTGAATAGATTTGAATAGATTTTTAAAATCTGTATAGATTCAAATTAAAAACAATAAAATAAATTAGAATTGACAATGTGTGCATTACTGTCCAGTATTTAACATACAGTAGGCAATAAAAAACAAATTTTGGCATTTGGAATAAAACGATGTGAAGACACACCTAAAAGAAGCACTGGTATTTAATCATAAATTCCAATCCTCATTATTGGGACTTGACAAAATCAAAAGTTATATACTGCCCCCTGGAGGTTGATAAGTAATCATAACTTTATTTTATATACTAGTTCACTGAATAATGCTGGTAGCCTAAACTTTGATATTAAATATTATGACTTGTGATATACTTATATTATTATTTTATATTCATATTGAATCTTATAAGTTATGAATGAATAAATGTAATGGTCAGGATATAAATTAATATTAATCTACCATAAAATCACTTAAATCAATCATTAGTAAGTAAATAAAACAAACATTAATAACTTGTGTGATTAAGCAATAAGTTTCCATTTCTTAACACAGAAGAATTTTCCTTTTGATTTTCTTAGTGCTGTTTTTTATAATAATAGTAATAATAATAATATAAATAATAATAATAATAACAATAACAATAATAATAATAACAATAATAATAATAATAATAATAATAACAATAACAACAATAATAACAATAATAATAATAACAATAATAATAATAATAATATTTAGTTGGCATTTAAGATACAGTATATCATTTGCCAGGAAAGAGAATAGGAAATTAGCCTGAACAAAACAATTTGCAAACTTTCCTCTAAACTTGCACTACACAAGTACAAATCTTGCACTGCACTCTTTCCACTTTACTTATTACACTACACAAATACAAAACTTAAACATACCAACTTATAGTCCTGTTAACTTTGAGTAGAAGATACGATGTTGATGATGTCAAATGCCAAATTTTTTAACACGTTATTTTAATTACTCAAGTTCAGTTTTTTAGGTATTTTGAAGGTAGTTTTACATTGGCTGTAAACTGCATTTATGTAATTTTAAATTTTTGTGTTACTGTTCAGCATCAGAAGTTATGAATGTGCCTTCACCTGTTCAAATATGGATAACCTTTTGCCCCAATAACCCACACAAGTTTACATGTCTGGCTTATAGTAAAATGAGACTGTTTATTAATGGATGAAAAGAACTATTGTTGAATGGAGTATGGCATGAATTAATGCTTTGCAGCCAAGATCATTAGGATTACCTTGGTATTAAAGAGGATGATATTAAAGAGGATAACACAGGCTCTTATAATTATCATTTATCACCTCTTTATCCATCAGCACACAGTAGGCAAAGGACTTCAAAACAGGAATAATATAGGCCTATTTTCTTACTGAAGAAGGCCAAGATGCAACATGCAAATTTATTATCCATTCCCCTAGTAACAGTAACGTCTTCAATTAAAAACCGATAAATAATAAATAAATACGTCATCAGAAATCTATTCTATTGGTTACCCTTGCATAGTCAATTATGTTTCATATAAATTTTATTACTCATAAATGCAAATTCACCGATTATAAATGGCAAGAGTATTTTACTTATTGTTACTTTCTTAACATATTCTATTAAATTCCCACAATCCATTGTGTTCAATCACAATACATCCACTGAGTAATTATATAACCTTGGATATATAAGAAACAGGTATTGCCCATAATGCCTTGTGGTTAGGAATACCACAACATAAATGTAATCATTGTTGTTAACTATATTTTTTCAAACTTATCAGACCAGTCCATAATTGACTGAGCAGTTTATTGATAATCTTAATATTTTGGCTTCCTTAAAATAAAATATGAAATGTAAAGCTCTCATGAAGCTTATTGTAAATTCAACGATTTATATCGGTCTCGAATGAAGCTTGCCTATTATACTACAGTATTCATTTAACAACAATTTACATTACTTCAGCCTAACTGTAACTGTACTGCCACAATGTTAGCCTACCCATCATACTTCCTCACTCAAAATACCTTATAGTCTACTATGTCTCACTGCTGTATAGAGCCTACAGATAATGGAGCATTTGTTTAAAATACATCATATAATGTGGGCCCAGGTAGACTACAGTACCTAACATACCTCATCTATCATGTCTACTACTTTGGATCTATTACCAATGCTACATTACTTTAACCTTCTACATGCTCCATACAAATTACTTTGCATCAGTTCACAACTCAATGTAAACTTGACATCCATTATGTCAAAATACTTCCCGTACCATCAATCGTGTCACTCAAAACAAATTTATCATTCCCCATAAATTCTTCAAGACCAATAGAAAAATTATGTTTACAGGAATTCTTGTATATTTTTTTATGGACAAGGTTATGATCGCTGACATGGTGTCACATGAATGAAATGCAGTAAAAACATTAATGTGATAACATTCAATACCAGTCACACATGACTGGGACATGATAATCCTTAACTCTTATATTATTGGTATCTGTGATGTTTAGGCCTCCCATAGGAGAGATTGGGTCACATGGCTTGTACATTGAAAATACGATTGTTAAGTTTCTTTTTCTAAGTAATCATTAAACGCGTGAGGGTATATCACAATAAATGGTGGCAGGGAATAGCCAATAACAAATTGGGGTGCAACATTTGTCAGACCTGCTAAAGTTAGAGATATAGTATCTACCTCGTAAATTAAATATGTGACGTGAGAAACAGATAAAGTTATTATATCATCAACGAAGTATCAAATTTGTTCATCCTCTCTAAGATACCATGACAACAAACCTCCTGTAGACAGCCCACATTCCAAAAACTTAACATTTCATTAGATAATAAATAGTACATTCATGTGCCTGGATTTCAGCCACTGAATCTGGAGTAATTTTTTTAACATCTGTGGTGTAACCTACCTAAGTACACACAATTATTATATATCCACATAAACTAAATAATATTTTCAACTTTACAGGGACGACAAAGGCTATTGTAGTGGTATGCATAAACACAATGCTTAATTTTTTTTAAATATTTTGTTGCCCATACCCCAACATTCAAACAAATTAAATTATTTACGCCTACTCTCAGTTAAACATAAGGGAGCAAATATTATTCCCAATCAACAGATACTGTATATAATAATACTTTGCAAAGAACCCATTACCTTGTAGTCGGTTATTTTTCTTTATATAGAAAAACCGAATTTGTGCAATCTGTGTATTTAATATTACAAAAATTTCAATGAGTTATCAATGTTTTACCAGTAATTGCATTTTTGATGCTTATTCCAGATTTTAATCAGACTTCACTTAATTGGGGTTTTTTTGTGTTTTTTTTATTTAGGTTGAAGATCAAAAAATACAGCGAAGCTTTGCTGGAAGTAATTTCAAATTATTTTCAAATTATGTTTACGATATCCATCAAATAAAAGCAGGTACCAAGGCCACATTCTTTTTGCCTTGCCTTATAAGGTAAGTCACTCTTATGAATCAAATACTTGGCCTGCTTGCGGGTTTCTTAAAGGTTCTGCCAGTAAAATACATTTGTTCAGAATTTAACACAAATCATTGTAGCAGTGACTTGTGTCAAAACAAAATTAAAACACAAATTCAATTGATAATTTAATAAGAACCACATAATGTTTTCTGATTATAAAAACAACAATTTCCAATGGTTTAAGTATTGTTCATTATAGAACTTTTCCATCAAGAATTTTAAGGAATTATGTAAACACTATAAGATAAATTTAAACATATATATGTACAAGGAAAAGTTCTCTCATTCTAATTTCCAATTGAAAGCTTAGCTAACAACAAATTCATATAATTTCTTTTAAAATTTTTTCAAGTTTATATATAGATTTATACACATAATTCTGTAGCCTTCATTTTTAGTCTGATCATAGTGGAAGTGGTTACTACACAAACAAAAAAACAAACCTAAACTACCGGTAATAGTAAATGCTTTACAACAATATATCAAAAGTACTATTATATTTTGTTTCATCTTACATAAAAAACAAATATTTAAATATATCATATATGAGATTACCAGATGATTAAATGTGTCATATAATATTACAGGTCATGACCTACATTGAATGTGCTTTCTTTTTTATTTAAAATTTAAGAAAAAAAATCATCAATGCTTTAAATATTTAGGCCCATAAAAAGGCTTGTAATCTAAGAATTTTCATTACAAATAAATTGTAAATGAATGAAAATTGAATAGTATACTGTATGTATCATTAGAAGTCTTATTTGATCCCTTTTAAACAATCAATTCAAATGTTAATTGGGTTTTTGAGGGGTTTTCGAGATTTTGAAACAGACTGATCTGTTGTTCTGACAACAGTCCTCAGATATTTGGGTCAGAATTGCCATTAAACACATCCTTTCTTGACGTCTGTCCTGCGTATGAGGCTAAACTGCATCCGAAACAACTGCCGGCTACTATTATTTCTGGCAACCCATTTAGTGGGATCAGTGACTGATGACAGTTGGAGGGGAGGGAGATGGTGGTCACCCAGATGCCTGAAAATTTATGCCTGAACAAAAATGGTAGTGAGCTTTTCAATGTTAATTGCCACCCTTGCTTAGTTTAAGGATTAGCATTAGTTCTGAGGGTGAGATTATTTATTCTTTATTGTATTCTTATTGACAATTTTTCATTTTATTCTTACTAATAAGCTCCACTCAAGTGCACAAGTTGTACATCTTGTTGACGTCAGAAATTAACAGGCACAGATTATTTACTTTAGTGAAATACTATTTTCATAATGGTAATTACAAAAAAATTGTAATTGAATTTTGATTTCAGTAGTATGAACGTGTTTATTTACATTCTATACAATGCTAAGATTCTATTGTAAAGACTTCTGTTCTATAATGAATCAAGAACACCTAGGCCTATCCTAAGTTGATGCCAATCAAATTTGAACGCCTTGCTGACGTCATACAATGGTTGTGTACAATACGATTGATAAATTGAAATGGAACTGCATGAAAAATATACAATAGCAGTTTTGGTCCAGTAATAATGAGTTTCCATACAATACTAACCCAGAAAGGATTCTTTGGTATTATTGTTATTTAGGGCACTGTAGGAGCTCCTTATCAATGAATGAATCAAAAAAAATAATTATCCTACTTGGACTAGTGCCAGATTAGCCAGACTAGGCTCTACTTTAGGTTTTCACTGTAACTACTGTATATTCTCAATATTATCGGCTCATAAAATTACAACATAATTTTTTCATTACGTATATGAGGCAGTGGTGGCACCAGGATTTGCCTGACAAGGGGGTCCGATGTCCCTGATGGGGCCTATGTGTTGCACAAGAGCGCAAGTTTCAAACATTTAAAAAAAAGTACATAGAGTTTTATTTTTCTCCCTGACAAATTGTGGGAAGGGGGGTCAGCTCTTCTCGATGGAGAGGCTGTGTCCAAAACTAACTAGCCTTACCTGTGGTACATTCAGCCAATCATCAGCAAGCTGCATGGCCTCTCTGGCATTGTCAAGTTTGTTTGCTGGATCCCAATCTTCCCAATCAGGACACAAACCTACACAAATACAAGTATTTAGTTAATCCATGGATGTATTTCATTTGATTACGGTTGGTAACCTGGCTTTAGTTTACACTAAATAAGGCGATGCAAAAAAATATGGAAGAATTGAAGAGATGCTGAGGTACTATTTAGACAATCAGCTATAATTCTAGCCCATATTCCAACCTTATATTTAGGCTTAATTTGATCCCCCAACACATATATTAATCAAAAAACAGAATTATTAGGCCTATAATTCTATGTAAATAATGTTATAGACTATAATGGATTAAAAGTCTTGAATAGCATTAGCAGTTTTATTATTTCCTCAAATTACTTAAAAAACAATTTGTTTAAATGAATATCCCATGTTAATGGAAGGGTTCAATATAATATTTAAATCAGGCACAATTTAGATTGATTTTGACTTTGATAGCCAACCCCTTAATTCAAAACTGTATTAAGGAATTAGGCCAGTATGACAACTACTCTCTTGTATAGTAAAACCAGCCTGTGGAACAATGACTCAATTTCCCTTTCACCTCATTTTTTGATGGTACGTTTGTGTGATACATCGGTGTCCAAATGCTATGCATTTGATGTTTACCAAAACTCTGATTTTCTTTTAAATTTTTGATTAATTAAGTAGATTTCACTGCTCAAGTACTGTTTATTTCTTTCAAATATTGGGATATGACTTTATTTATTTCCCAGTCTTTCATTTTCACCTGATTTCCTTCCAGTAGCCAAGCCTGAGGCACAGGCCAGAGATGGGAACTTCTGGAGCAAAGCATACCACCTTATGAGGGTATCTACGTATACATGGCCACAAGGAGAGTGACACAGTTTCAATTCTGGACTTAAGTGTTTTTTTTTTTAAATATATGGATTTCCAAGCAGTCTTGTACTGAATTAAACGATGCGAGTCTTTGAGTATTCATATTTATCATTATCATAATAATCATTATTATCATTATCATCATCTTACAGCAATTTAGGGGATGGATTTGCAGTACACCCACGGCGTGCTTCTACCCAAGGACTATGGTAAAGTTGCTTCAGACAGGTCATTGCCTTGAGAGACGAGGGGTTGTGGTTGTCTGGTGGTTGCGAGACAACCATTTTAATCTCCTTATATTTTTATGATTCTTTTGTTGCATTTAGGTGTGCAATCAAAATTTACGACCTTCATTAAGCGTCCTCTTATGTTCATAAAAAATAATTGCTGACAACTAACCTGGGGCACAGGAATCAACTAGAGCACCAACAGCTCGGCCATCGTTCCAATCTTTGTTGAAATTCTTGATTGGAAGATCTGGTACTTTGCTTTGGATCCAGCCTAGAAGTTTCTCTTTTGGTGTTTCCTTCTTCTTTTTCTGTCCATCTACCGCTCCTTCACCCTCTTCATCCCACATCGGCATGCTGATCGAGTAATGCAAAATCAGTGTCCATATTAGACCTAGGATTAGTTTCAAGCGACCATCCACGATATCTGAGCTGTCTGTAATGTAGTAAAGAAAGCAAATACTTCATCCAATCTGGTTACTTGAATTAATTTTGACTTAAAAATTGAATTTCGATTAATTAATGATTTAATTAATACATTTGTTATTCAACTATATCATTTCATTGTTAATTTATATACAGCATCAGATTTTATCTTACAATATTAAAGTACATTGGAATTGGAATATTAAAAGGTTTTGCTTAAGTTACTGTTTAGTATGTCTAAATTCCAATTCATGCTAAATATAAATAACAATACATACAGTAGCATTTTATTGAGTATCTAAATAAAGTACCTTATAAGAAATAGGAAAATAGTCAAAGTAATTATAACCACCTACATGTAGTAATCTTATCTATGTGACAATAGCCCTCTCATGATTTTAAAATATATAACCCGAAAAAAGCGCACTTTAACTTGGGCCAAATGAAAGAATACGCGGTACTTGATACTGTAAGTTTAGATCTAAACATCAACTTTTTTCTCTTAAGTTAACATGAAGACTTACAGTAAGTGAATCATTATTTAGGTCAATTATTATATATAAGGATTACTGAATGAACATTCTAGTTCTCCTCCTTCAACACCTGTTGCACAAAATGTGGAGTTGATACATGGCTGTCTCCAACTATGCGAGTTGATTACAACTCCATTAACGATTTCAATATCTGCTGAAATATATGGAACACTATATAAACCTCATTTCCTGGTGACAACTCAAACATCAAACTTTTTTTTATATTTCCTATTTATATAATGGGAAATCTGTGTTGTATCAACCTACTGCTATCCGAAAGGGTTGAGTTACGCATTAAAAATATATTGAGTTATAAACTTATTCAGTGATGGCTCCAGAAATTTGCTGACAAGGGGTCCGACTATCAAACAGGGATCACGTCAATAAATAAAACTCTGTGATGCGGGTATCCGTTTTTTTTTTTTAGTATAATCAATCGTGATCCAGAAGAGGCTGACTAGAGCCTCAATCAGGGTCCAGAAATAAAATATTCGGGACTGGCAATCAAAATAATGTTTTGCAGGCAATTTAAGACTAAAACCTTGTTGTGGAATCAGACAACCGGGGAGGTGACATGTACAATGGGGGAAATTTCCATTGCCCCCGCCGCCACCTTGATATATTATCAATTATTCAGCAGCAATTGCAATGACAACTTGATTTTAATTCAGAGATCAAATCACTTCTAAATTTATTACATTATAGGAGACAGATATTAAGAGCGGCAGTGCATAACTACTTGTAAAAGCATGGATTATAACGCCTCAACACATGTCGACAATTCATTCACACAGCCAGTGCCGACAAATTTCACTTAACAGAGAATCTAAAAATAGTTACCAGGAACATGAATTATTTGTGAAATCGTGCATTCCTTGCATTAAATGCAGAATGCTATTAAATTTTACACCAATTGTTTGGGTCGAATGTTCCTGGTTTAGGTCAACACTTTATAAAAGTATTTTGATTATAAACTTGGTTTGCAAATCAAATATTCAATCTACTCTCCATCTCTGTTGATTGAGTATACATAAAAATTAACAATAAAGTTAAAAGTATAATGTAAGTGAATGAACCAATGATTTGGTTTTCTCCAACCCACATTATATTTATTCTCATCCGTAAATCTTTTGGATACTTTCCTCAGTACGTGATGTTAAATTTCATTTATGGGTACAGGACACTGTAATTAGAACCATAAACTAAATTATCTAAACCCATGCCATATCAATCTAAAAAAAAATTAGAAAGGGAAATCGTTTATTAACATCAACTGACGACAGAAGAAATGCAACTGAACAACAATTTAAGAAGTACAACTAACAGTCCCCTAGTTCATTATAAATACCCCCCCTAGCAGTTATTTATCTTATCTTAAGTAAACTATATTATCAAGGATGTTTACTTCCTCGTCTTCTTCCTAAACTTCGCAGGGATATATTTTCATTGACATATCACAAAGATGGGACTGAAGGATGAAGCGAGGGAAAGATTGTAGATGATAGTAAAGGAAGTTAGACAGACACTAATTGACCCACATTTCTCAACACGATAAATATCTCCACTGAAAGGAAAGGGACAACAAACAGCCTTCCAGAATAGTGTCACTTGCTTAGCTCATGATGTTTGTTGCATGAACTTGTAGTTGAAAACACTGCCATTCAGTACATAACTTCTAAATTTTTTTGCAACTTCAAACGTATTTGTTTTCAGATGGCTAATGAAATGTGTGTTGCACCTTTTATGTTCTTTGGGAATTATTTTATTATTATTATTATTATTGGTGTGTCAAACAGGATTCATGATGCACCTTCTTCATTAATTCAAAAAACAAAACCATTGAATGGTGGGGAGGGGAGGTGGGAAGCAGTTCTTTGCTCTAATAACACTATAATAATAAGAAATAATAAGTAGAAATGACAGTGGGAAAGAGGAGTTCTTGTAAAGAGATCTCAAAAAGGAACTATCTCCTTTTAAGTTCTGAATTATGCTAGGCACTGGCTTGCCTACAGAGCAAGTTGTTTATGCAGCAACTTTCAACCTTCATTGGTTCACTAATCTCTCAATAGCTCACAACTGGTGCCCAATAACAATCATAGAGCATGTTTCTACCATTCTACAGACAACTTCTCAACTCCACCCTTTAAGGTCATAGGCAGTGAAGCATATCAGATGTCTGTCTGATAATGACACTTCAAAAACAGTTGACGCTTAGACCCAACACCAAACAGAATCAGAAAATATGAAAATCATATTCATCATTGATCTGGGTTGATCACTATAATCATATGGCATTGCTTATTCAATTTAATGTAATATATTATAATAAAAAGTTAAATACTTTCATATAGTAGTTCAAATTTTATTCTTTTCTTAGCATAATAAAAATTTTCCCATTAGTTTAATAAAATTTAAATAATTAAATGAATAATTGAATGATATGAGACAGCAACCAAAAACAAGGTGGCTGAAAGATTATTCACCTGGCAATCTTGATCATAGAGTATTACTATAACACAACAGCCTTTCAAAGTATTATATCAGCTCACATCAACCAAAAAGCAAACAAAAAGTAGGCTAGCTTGCACCATTAAACACAGTACACCCACTGTCCCAGGGCTGATCCCATCATAAAAGGTGAAGGCTTAAGAATACATTGGTGACCTGCGGTTATAATAGAGGTTAAGAAAGGAAGGTACACTGATTTAGGGTTAGCCACACAACTTCCCTATTAACAGCTTATACTTTAAGTCTGTCTAGCCATTCAGAAAATTGTTGGGTTTTTTTGTCTGAATTATTCTTCATCGTTGGTAATTAATAGCCAATGAAAACTTTCTCCGATTTTCTTTGACTAAGCTCCTGAATTTTGTGTATTTACAGTAGAAAGCTTTTTTCAGTAGGGAGAAGCATTATATTATGCTTTCGTTACAACATCCTGACCATTCCAGATATCAGATACATTGATTAGAAAGCAAACCTTGCAATGTTACCACAAAGACCACCATATTGGATTAGACTACTTTTAAGGTGTTGTTTACTCTCTGAAAGGTATCAGTTTTGTATTCAATCAATCATTTATTAGAACATACACATACACCTTTAGATCGGTAGCACTCAAACTATGAATACTTGTTATGACTTTAAAAAGTCAATTCTTTTGCTATCGTATCATCAAAGTTGTTTCAATTTGATCAGATCGGATTGCAATATTGCAAGATAGATGGTTAGCAATCACTGTATGCTAACTGTTGGTACAATGATGGATATACACTTTAAAGTATAGTCTGAGCTACAACTGAAAAAGAAATTCTGAACTCTGACCTGATACAAACAGAAAAAAAGTGCTAAGGAAACAAAGATGCCACTGGTGACAGATACACACAGCAGGATGAGTATGCCATTATTGTTGCTTGGCAACTCCATGGAGATATCTATCACCTTCACTGGACAGAATTTACAGTGACCTGGATATTTTGATCGGCCCAGGGACTGGTGTTCTACAATTTACACCTCCCTGGTTACACATACAGGATGATCTTTCTTTTCATTATTCAAAGAGTAATACAAAAACAGAAACTTCTGTAGGTCTCACTCTAAATAAAGACCCCTTCAATTAAAGACCCCTTTTCTTGGTGCCTAGAGTCAACCGTTCTATTTTTTTTCGAGGGGTGTTTCTTATGTGAGAAATAGGCAAAATTAGTCAGTTTATCCAGGTAAGTATTCACGAAGTAGACTATCTTTATTATTCTAATTACAGACCAAAGCTTTCAAAGACCATGGAAACCCCAAAAGTGGTCTTTAATTGGAGGGAGACAGGTACTTCTTATTCTTTAAAATACGATTTAGTAAATATACTAATTATATAAAATCTTATTACACAAGTCAGGTGTACATTCTCTACTTACCTAGCTTGGTTATACAGTTTCTCTACATGTTCTACCACTTGACCTGCTCTTAAACTTTGGATTTGCTTTTTACCTCAAATATCTCAATAATATTAGATTTTTCTCTTTTTAATCATTATGGGGTTCCATCCAGTGACATCAATCACTGGAGTCCTTTGATGCTCTAAAACCTAGTATCTTTCTTACGAAATGAGACTGTGGTTGTCAGGAAAATCATATTGATATTCCTGGTACTGAACCCTCCACAATGGAACTGCAAGGCATGATCCATTGATCCACAGCTTGCTTCCCCCAATTAAGGCAACTACCTGATTAGTCAAGTTGAAAATTCTTTTAAACGCATGTTTACAGTATGTGTATCTTTAGACAACAGTACAACATTCATCAATGACATATTTTATGACAGCATTAATTGTTCTATGGAACCTCAGGCCTCCATAAATTCCAAAGTCCTATGTTCATTCCAAACAATTCCACTCCTCAAGCCTTATAAAAGACTTGATTATGAAATATCAATGGTGGCAAATAAGCTCTCAACTCCAGAGCCTCAAAGCGATTTGTTATGGAGCATT